CTTGTATGGTGTATTACAATAAAGAATATTATTATTATTAAACTGTAAATATATTGTTGTCTTGGGATCGAACCGATGTCCGTACACTGACATTATAGATGTAGTTACTGCAGTCTGTCTAAATGACCATTAGATTAACGGAGTTCTCATAAACGTCGGCTAAAAAACCTTTAGACAATTTATCAATTAATAAATATACAAAAATTATCTGCACGTGGTATTTTTTTAATTTAATAACATTAAAATGACAGAAATACTGAAGGTATTTTCTATGCTTTACAATATCCATCAGGAAAAACTACATCTCCGCTATTTCAACATGACTGCACAATATTTTTGCCATAAAGCAAATCTGTCCTAAAGTGAATCTGACCCAAAGCGAAAACACAGCTAGTAGGGAATGAAATACCGGGATACCGCGATTATATAAAATCGCGGTATCCCGGTATTTCATCATCATCATGTGACTCTACGCGCGGCGCACTTGCGACGAAAAATCTGTTCATAGTATTTATGAAATATTTTCTTATTTTGCCAGTTGAAGGTAACTGGTAAATATTGAACTGTTGACTGATTGAATTATAAACTAAGCCCGGGGTTCCTATGTTAATATTTCAAATGTATTAAAACGGATTTAGTTTTTCCCACAATTCGCTTCTTGCGTCTGACTCGGTCAGGTTGAAACTGAGCCGTCTGCTCGTATGCCACCTATAACATAAAAAAAAACTATTATATTCTTATAGGTATTGCATTGACGACTGTTAAGATGCGATCCCACGATGTGTGTTGTCGCGCGCGATTACGTATCATAGTATCATCACCTAGAATCATGTGTAGATACTGCTAAATCTCGAACGTTATGAGTTCTCCTACGTTTGGCAACAGCCGTATAGCCGTTGACCTTGATCGGACGATCCCATTCAGAAGGTATGATTTTTTTTAAAATGGCGTGTTTCATTTGGACCTTTATGACAATAAAAACGAGGTCTGTCATGCCTTTATTAAGATTGATTCTAAAAGATTTAGTCCACCTGCTGCATCCCGCCTGGATTGAAATTATCTTGGGAGATTGCATACCCTACTAACAAGCTAAGCACTCTATAAAGTGAATGAATAATATACTTTGCCGTTAAAGTGACATATACATACACATCGTCAATACTTATGTTCGGCTCAAGTAATTATGGTAATTTTAAGCAATGAGCAAAGTTCACAGTACCTCTTTAATAATGTATTAGATTTAACTCAGTCTTTATTTTACAAATGCAGGGGTTATTTACTTATAAAAAGGAATTTCAGTTATATCCCAATCTAAAAGGTAGACCGGTTTTGGTAAATAAATGTATTATTTATTAGATTTTTTTTCCTGACACACTTATACATATATTTTTAAATATGTTTTTAATTAATATGTAACAATAAAGTTATAAATGGCTTAAGTTATTAATAGATAAAAATTGATATACTCAGTACCATAAACCTGAGAGTAGTTAATAGTTTGTCAATCAATATTCTGTCCTTTATGACCTTATTAACATGATCAAATTTGAAGAAAAATATAAAGAATCTATACATTTCAATCTGAATCGATTTGAATGTAATTTGATATAGAGGTAGTTTCTGTGCCTGGGAAGGAAATAGAATATTTATCCTAAAATAATCCTTTATGGGCAACGATATAAAATACTCTAGATACAACAACACGAACTAAATCGTGGCCGAAATCTGTGTATCACCTTAATAAAAACGCATGCGTCAAACAGTTGACAGTTCGAAACGCAAGCTCAAAAATTTTTTTCGACTTATTGCTAAGCAATTATGGCAGAACTTATGGCTGGTCTAGGTATATTCTCTATACGTACTACTGGCAAATAATTATGTATTACACAGAAAACTTTTTGCTAAGCAATAAGTCGAAAAAATTTCTGTCGGTATATACCGAAGAATATAGACCTTATTAAAACCATTAAATGTACACAGAAGTTGCAGTTCTGTGACTGGGCGACAAGTGGTATATATAAGAGTAGAACAAGGCTGTATGAGCTTTATATAATCAAAGAATATAACCAGGATCCTGAGTTTATTAACTATGTTAGAAAATATTCCAAATTGTTTAAAAGCATATGTAATACTGCAAAGTCCAATTTTATTAGGGATAAAATTAAAAAATCTAGTAATAAAATAAAGACCACTTGGGATATCATTAAGCGCGAAAGTGGCAAGTGTAAGCCTCGTGAAAATAGCATGGTTCTTAAAATCAATAATAATCTCGTAAAATCGAAACATCGCAGATATTTTCGATAATTTTTTTATGAATATACCATTAGAAACTACTTCCAACTTGGACTCATCGTCTGATACTGCTACAGCTCAGTTACAAAAATATGTACCTCCGTGTGGTTTATTATTTAATTTCAAGCACGTTAGTTCTTTTAAAATAATTAAAGTTTTCCATTCATTAAAAATGAAAAATGCATCTGATTTATGGGGTGTATCTGTCAAAGTCATAAATAAATAATATTATACATTCTATAGCCCCTTACCTAGCTGATATTTTTGATTCATGTATAGATCAGGGAGTATTCCCTGATCTTATGAAATTCAGTAAAATCATACCTTTATTTAAGTCTGGAAATTGTAAAGATCCTAGCAACTATAGGCCAATATCTATATTACCAGCATTGAGTAAAATCTTTGAAAAAATAATGTTAGAACAATTGTTGACTCATTTTAACATTAATAAACTTTTACACAGAGCGCAGTACGGTTTCACTAAAAACCGTTCCACGACTGATGCTGGGGCCACTATGCTAAAATATATATTTAATGCTTGGGAAAAGTCGCAGAATGCTCTTGGGGTTTTCTGCGATTTATCTAAAGCCTTTGATTGCGTTAATCATCAAACTTTGTTACGGAAATTAAATCATTACGGCATAAAAGATTCCGCACAAAAATTAGTGCAATCATATTTAACAGAAAGGACACAAATAGTTGATATTAACGGTACAAAATCAGCCGGATCTCATGTGAAAATAGGCGTTCCTCAGGGTTCAATTTCAGGTCCATTTCTTTTTTTAATCTACATTAATGATTTACAACAAAGACGACACTTTACGTACTATAATTATTTTTTCGCATTTTTCACGGCATCTTTACTTTTCGACGGTTCGCCCGTGACTGTGAACCAAGAAGTGCTTGAGTGGAGTTCAAGCGCTTTTGATTGGGACACATTTTGAGCGCACGTGGTGTATCTAGGGTATTTAATATCGTTGTTTAAAGGGAATGGGGTTTGTATGGAACCTAATATTTCCATGCGCACGAATACGCGGGCACCGCTTAATTATGTATGTATTCATTACTATAAAAAATAATAATACTTCATTATTTTTCATATTTGGACTCCAGTTTCATGTTTATGACACCTAAGCAAGTCTAATACATAATTACTTGCCAGTAGTACAACCAGCCATAAGTTCTGTTACAAATTTGCATTTTTTTAAATGAATTAAAGTAATATCGTTAAAATTTATACCTACATATTTATTAAAGCCTCAGCAATTTTTTTAAACAATATTCTATTCCAAATGGCCACCTTTGGCTTTTATACAGGCCTTTAATCTGTTTGGCCACGAATCTACGGATTTACGCAATGTTTCCAAGGGAAATTTCGCCACTGCTTGCTTCAAAGATTTTTTAAGAGACTCAATGTCGCCTTCTCGTTTAGAGCAAGCCATGTCCATAATTTAAAGTCTAAAGAGTTGAGGTCTGGGCTAAATGAGGGCCAGTCTTCAGCTCTTAAAAATTTCGAAACGTTGGTTTCAAGCCGGGCTTAGGTAGTTCGTGCCTTGTGACCAGGTGCAGAATCCTGCTGAGTGCCCACGTTATATTTTTAAAAAGTGTTTTGCTAAGAGGTTTCACAATATGATCCAAGAATGTATCTTAATACACTTTAGCTGAAGTTTTCACTCCTTTTTCACTAAAATGTTCTTTTGTGACTCCCTGATAAGACACGCCGCAAGTATCACTGACGCAGGATGCTGACCACGTTGTAACTTTCCGACCACTTGAGCAGCTTCTTTAGAACTGTGAGCGTACACTTTATCATTTTGCTTATTGTAGTGTTCTTCAGTCGTGAAATTTTTTTCATCAGTAAAGAGGATATTTCTGTGCTTTTCATCTGTGTATCGTGACAGCAGGCGTTTTGATTGATGCACTGTCTTTATATTGTAAAGATTGATTTAGGGCATGTCCTGTATATCGAGGATAAGCACCGAGCTTCAGGTCTTGTTTTATAATACGCTCCTACGCTTAGCAGCCCCCCTAGCATGACTAACAAAACGCGATATGATAAAGCGATTTATCGACACTAACTGTCAAACTACAATGGAGTTTCACAGTTGAGTGTCGATAAATCGCTTTATCATATCGCGTTTTGTTACTCATGCTAGGGGGGCAGGAATCTTTATTACTCGCGATAAGATTTTCTGCTTTCTAATGGGGTTTTGACGAATTCTGGCTTTAACAGCATTAGCAGCCTTTGTAGTTCTAACAGTACGTGGCTGACCCGATCTTTTCTGGTCTTCGACAGACGAAGTATTGTTGTATCTGTTGATAGTACGATAAACGAACGATACCAAGTTTTCGAAGTGTCTGGAATATGACCGACGGCTCCATACCCACTTTGTGCATGGCGATCACTGCAATCCTATTTTATTTAACACCCCATTCCATATTGTAATTTGATAATAAACACAAAAAAATATGTGTAATGGCGCAAAATTGAAAAAAGTTTTTAAAATAATATAGGTAAGTGTTCAAATTCAAAATAATTAAAAAGTTGAAAATAAAAGTAGTTTTTCTGTAACTGTACTTAAGGCCAGACTAGTAACAGAATATTCATGCTTGGGTGGAAATGCCTTTTTTTAATATACCCTTGGATAAATAACTTTTTTTTTTAAATTATGACATCTTAATATGGATAATTATGTATAAGAACTTACCTGGAGCACATTTGGTCATAATAGTAAAGAACAACCATGATCCAAATTCGTATGTGTAATTAGGGCAGGAAACAAAGTTGAAGAGTAATGACAAAGGATTGCCATCAGGAACAGGCACACGTCTGACTTTAGTGCCAGGAGGTCGCAGATTTTTCAAAAGAATATGAATACTCAGATTTCCCAATTCACAGAGCTGAAAACCAATGTGTCATCTTAGTTATTGTAATAAATTTAAACAATGCACTGCAGTCTTCAAATACAATCATTCAAATTGTCAAAGTCACAAAAACCACAAACTATATTAGAATTCTTTACCACTTTTATGTTTTGTATTTTCTGCAAGACACAATGTGAACATTGTAACACTGCTTAGCCACAGTAGTCACATACTACAAAGTTCATTGCAGATGCACTCAATTCTATATGAGTGATTCTATGATAAGAGGTAATATGCATGGCAATAATTATAAAATAGCCTTTTTTATTTTATGTTTAGTCATTTTAAACAAAATATCTTAGCATCCTAATACGTTTTATGAATAACTTTTTTAACTATTGATGATTGCCCAACTAAATAAATATACTACAGATTATAAAAGTAAAATACAATTGGTGGCAATCCTGGGGGGGCTACTGGGAATAAACGAAAAATAGGACTGAAGCAGATATATCAACTTATAGTTATTAATACCAAACACAGAAGCTGTTAAATCTCTGTTATTTGTAAGTTGGGAGCAACACAACAGTTCAGTGAATAGGTTTCGTAAAGTGATTGTCTCTCCCCTAGTGAGACAAAATTTAACTATTCTGTGATACTTGAAGTGTGTTATATTAATACCCCAATATCAACATAATATGAAAGTTTAAGATTTTCCTCAAAAACGTCTCTCCCCATATTCCTTCCCACCACTGTGTTTCGCCTGGCTAGATAAGGTAGATTCACACTGACCAGGGGAGACAATATATTTTTGCAAATTCATCAGACATAGCTTACTTTTATCAACATGCTCAAGAAACATCAATTAATTTATATGGTGAACAAAATAGAAGTGTGGTATAAAAAAAGATTTTTCTACTAATCTTTCAATATGTTGTATAACATACTTATAGCTGTTTGCTAGGATTGTTTTTTTTTGGTTTTCTTTTTTTCTTTGTTGAAGTCCGATGGATAGCAAGCTCACATCCTCATTATCTTTGATTTGACTTATATGTTGTAGATCACTGTCCGAACTGAGAGAGGTCCAACAGCACTTTATAGCATACTTGACATGTTTTAACTAAGAAGCTCTAGTTTCTCATTTCGTGAAAAGTACTTAGTAGTACAAAAATAATACCTACTCCCATTCAAAGTAATACAATTTTTAATAAAAGTTGATTCTATATATTTTTTTACTATGTTGAAGTCTCTACCCTTCCCGATGTAACTACCCTGGCCATCTAAATATGAATCAAGTGACTTGCCGTTGTGTTAATGTTAACATAAAAGGGCCTTAAATATCAATAGGCTAGTTTACTCATGTCGAATTGTATTAAATAAATGTTTATTTCTTAAAGTATTTGGTCTAAGGAACCTAAATATATCGATTTCACTTCATAAAAGCAGAAGATTGCTGTAGAAATTTAATTTGAAAAAATATTTTTTAGTCTATATTTTTTAAACACTTAAAACGCTGTTCGCCACATCCGCCATGATTTTGACGTCTCTTGTGGTAAACAACTAAATGTCATTCGCGTGTTACTGTAGGTGGATTCTTTCGTCTGACTAAATTTATCTTAAAACACTTTTAACTTTAGGAAAGAAATAAACAGTAAACTTAGTTTTTTTGACAAAACTAATTATGGTAGCCGGCTTTGTAAAAGCAGAAAGCACAAATCTGCCAAGAATTGACGCATTGATGGTTGGTGAATTTGTTGCACTAAACCCCGATTTCTGCTCTGCGGAGCAGAGAAACGACAAGGCATCTTTGTAAGTACAGTGCATTTAGTATTACAATGTAGTAATAAACATAAAACTGATACAACATATGAATAAGTGTAATAAAGTTACGTAGGTTAATTTCTTTCGGCACTTTAATCCACAACTTTCCTGGAGTCTTCAAGGATGTGTTTTTATATTCTCGTACAATACAGTAATGATAATTACTTTATTTTTCGTGGTATTTATTAGAAATCATGTTTTTTTTTATTATAAACTCAGTTTTAAGTAATTTTCTACGTGTTTACGAGTTTTTGTTTACCACAGTTCACGTCATAGCATAGATAATCTATGGACTAAAATGGCCGACAGCGTTTTTGTATGTCCATGAAAAGTCTATTTTAAAATTAAAGATTTGTAGCTTTCTAGGTTTAAAAAAAATACAATACATGTTTTTTCGGTCTAATAGAACATTTATTAACTATTTAAAACCTTTTTCCAAAAAGGGTCAACTAGCCTATTCAATCAAAAAAATACAACTTTTTGCCTTGGCCGCTTCCTCTATGAATGCAGAACCTCAGGACCTCTATTTTTGAATCACTCGTCTGATATAGTATCGTCGAATGCGAAATAAGTCACCTTCGGCTTTCAAGTCGCATGATACTGATTTTCCGTATTTTTGAATCGTTCGTCACAGATGTTACCAGTTTAATACGAAATATAAAATTTTATTCATTTCACGCAGATTAAATAAAACCCGGTAATTACCGCAATGAAAATGGAACAAAAATTCTTAGTACGTGGCTGTAAATACATGTTGTTTATATTACCGGCACTTCACTTAGCTGTTCGTGATTGCTGTTTGTAAACTTGACATGCATTAGCCGTCATGCCATAATGAAAGAAGAAGAAACTTGACGTCAGTCTGCCCTTGTTGTTTCATATAAAGCATGACAAGGGTAGATTATCGTCGTCTAAAAGCAAAATGAATAGAAAAGTAAAGTGCAGGCATTTGAAAAATTCAAACGTCACAACACCCGTTTCAAAACATTTTGTAATAGTTTATTTTACTCAGTGGCTAAATCCAATCACACAAGAAATCTTATTAAGTATAAGTTTGACACTAACGTGACGTCTGACACAAATTTGACAATTATTTTATCATTCGCCTCCATCATTCGCCATGTAACGAGTGGTCTCACTCATTCGTTGCACTCGAGCGATTCAAAAATACGGATTTAATTATGTCGAATGAAAATTAGTAGAAATAGAGGGTTCGACGCAAGGCGAGTTATTCAAAAATAGAGCTCCTTATCTTAGAACTACCCATAGAGTGATATCTTACACTACTATCTATAAATTTTGTACTGCTAAGCAGAGGTCTTTATGGGTTGCAAATAATGGTCAGTACACACGTAACGATATATCGTAGCGATTTCGAACTGTGCAGATAAATCGAACGTTCCTAGTGACTCCACACGCCTTCGATATCGGCGTCGATTGTTTGTTCTCCGCAGAAGCTCACGCAAGAAACATGTCATCCACGATGGAAGATTATGACGCACTTGAAATTTTATTTAGTTATTTATTATAGGTACTTCTAAGATTATTGATTGGCATTTGGTTCGACGGCTTTGTATTTTTCGACAAGCCTGTTATAGGCATTTTTTTTGTTGCGACATGTTGCCATTTAAGAGCCGGCCGCATGTGCGCACACTTGCGAGCTCCGTGAAGTACCTACTGCCGAACTGAGCGATCGCCATCCACACGCGACGATAAAACTGTGCAAACGCAATCGATAACAATTTATCTAATATAAATTGCAACTGCCACTGACGAACGATAATCGACAACGATTTGTCATACACACGTTCGATAAATCTGCCCAAATCGATCTGCAGTTTTATCGTTATGATAAATCGTTACATGTGTAGCAGGCATAAGAAATTACGTACTGTCCTGTCTCATGTCACATTATATGCATTTTTTTACATTAATTCAACTGACCAATAAGCATGTACTGACTTTAATTATTTGCAGGTCACTTAAACATGCTTATTAGGTAACTTGGATATGCAGGACCAAAATGATGCATATTTTGAAAAGAAATAAGAATATCTGATACACAAATTCTCAGTTTACAGAACAAAAGATGGAGAAAACGGTAACAGAATGCATGTCGCCAAAGAAATATCAAGTCAAAAGCAGATATCAACTTTTGTAAGTACACAACAACGCAACGTGTTGTGAATACATCCCATGAAATTTTTTTTTTATCAAAACTGTGCAGTCTTATACAAAAATTGTAAAAAGAAATCACAAAGACAAAAAGACTTTACTTTTGACTTGATATTTCTTTTGGTGGTATGTAATCTGTGTACTGTGCGCTCCATCTGCATTTTGTTCTGTAATCTGAGGACAATTCTATATCACTTGGACCACTAATAGGATCAAGTTCTTTTTAGTAAATTTCAAAAGCGTTATTTTGAATAGCATTAGAAGCAGAATTACGCTAGGCTACATAATTCTGTAAGAAGTGCATCTTTGTTAATAAAATTTTAAATGTCATACTTACTATGAAACCAGAAAGACCTACATAGAACCAAGTGTCACATGGTGGAGTGTACAGGGGATGATTTATATGGTATGCTACATATAGTGTAAACAGCCAATAATATGCACAATTGCGAAATAGGTTCCGCAATGGCATTGTACCATGAGAAAAACGATGAACAAACACTGTTTCTAGAATTCTCTTGGCATAATGGGCACACCAACATACTGCAGCAACACTGCAAAAAGCATACATTTAATTTTCACCTTTGAAATAATTCCTATATAATGGAATTACAAAACAACATCAATTATTAAGTTTACATACGTAGCAATGTTTCCTGATGCACCTGGTTGATAACCATAAATAAGCCATGGACGTTGATATACCCATAAATAAACGAAGAAGGGACCAGCATACTCAGCCAAAAATACATTCTTCCAGGAAATTTGTGGTCCTAAATCTTTCAAATACAATTTATCGCCACCTTGTATATTAAGGGCTTTGAGCGAATCCTCATCGTTTAGAGTTTTCCCTTTAGCTTCTAATTTAATAGCTTGGCGATCGGGATACAGAGACTTATTCACATTTTGATAGACTTTTTCTTTTACGTCTTTTACAGTAGCAGTAGCTTTTAAATGTATTTTTCCTAATGGTTTAGAACGCGAGACGCTCAATATTTCGATCTGAAAAGGTAGATCAGAAAAGATAAATAAAAGATCAAAAAAGTTTATTTAATATCCAAATGCATAACGATAAAGCTCATTGAACGATCGATCTAGGTAGATAAATATTTAACTCACTTCCATTTCTTAGAACTGCAACTAAATTTGTTGATCAATTATTTCTGATTAAAAAAATCTACAAACAAAATACAGTAATATACATTAAAAAAAAGCACTTCCGACCGAATCAATCTCAAAGAATATTATTTAAAAGTAGTAGAAACTATATACTTTAGCGGGCGGACCGGACATGCAGCTCGGGCATGGCATGTATGCTGTTTTACCCACAGACTATTTAGATGGTTTTACCTATTACTTTTATTACCGGCACTTCACAATTCAGTTGGCTGTTCGAGTTTGCTATTTGTCATTTTCAGAGGTTTTCCTTATCATGCTCTTTAAGGAATGAAAAAGAGAGACTATTGTCTAGTTTACAAATAGCTAATACGAATACCTATGTGTAGTGCCGGCTAGACGTTTGCCGTTTTTTATTTTTTTTAAGATTCTCCCTTTTTAAGAAAGGCAAAGGAAACAATGCCCATATAGCCTAGTCTTAAGTTATATTTGTCTTCTTTTTTTACATTAGAATGCCGGTGTGACGCATTTTAATGTTTCTTGGAATGTTTCGCACTAAATGTATCGCGTTGACTTTTTCGATAAGCTTCTGTGAGGTAGCCAACCCTACAATAAAGTTCTCACGTCCACTTGACCGTGACTTGACCGGAATAGCGTATATTATAAAGAAGTGTAGCTGTATTGGTCGGGAATGGTATATGAAGGGATGATAATTCTTTAAAAACTAAGGTTCTATGGTATAGAAGACAGGAAAGCAGAATGTGATCCACATTTCCCCATATGGAACCCGCGCGCAGTCACACCTAGGATCGTTTTTATATTGAGTTTGGCTAGATGGAAAGGCACATACTTTTAGCTCAGACTCATTCTATTTATCATGGACGTGTCTTATAAAAAAATAGAAGAATTATCTTTTAGGTTAAAAACAAACTTTTCTAATGATTTTAAGGCACTTTTCGATTCTGAAAATATTACAGCAGATTAAAGTTTTACAATGTTAACATATTCAACTGCTTTAAAAATACCGTTACATTCTCCAGAACAAACAGGATTCTGGAGCAAGTTTAATTTTCTGTACTATTTTAAACTGAGAATAGTAAACTCCTACTCCAACACATGTAGACGGTGAAGTTTTAGAAGCATCACAAAATATAAGGCGGAAGTCTTTATAAACAATATTAATTATATTTTCAAATTTATTTTAAACAATCAAGTCATACCTATCAACTATTAAAAAACGTGATTCCGATATCGATATTTTAGGGTTCCGTTTCCGTACCTCCAAAGGAAAAAACGGAGCCCTTAAAGGATCATCACTTTGTTGTCCGTCCGTCCGGGTCCGTCCGTCCGTCTGTCAAGAACGTTTTTCTCAGGAACGCGTGGAGGTATCAAACTGAAATTCATATCTTACACTCATGTCTACTGTTCCTTGGATCTGTGAAAAAATCAAACCTCTAAGCCATAAATCTTGTGATTGCTTCAAAGCAATCACAGAAAAGGTCTAAAATACGTAATCTACGCGGAAAGACGTAGAGTTGGCAACACTGCCGTCCATCCCGTCCGCCGATAAATATTAGTTTTATAAAAATAGTCCGAAAATCGAGAGCTTATTCGAAAACTAATACGGTGATTTGAGTTTATTTGTTGTCTTAGAAATTATTCTCAACATTTGACACTTTCAAATAAAAAAATACTGAACGCATCAAGTTTGGCCACTGAGGTTGGCTACACTGATAATAAATTGTAAGCGTGTGAAAAAGCCGTATACATATACGCCATCACATACAAATATGTTGCCTTTGTGTGTATTAATATCTATTGTGTGTGCATGGACTTAGTTTAAGTATGTATATTCGGTGTTGTATTGCGATTCGAATCCGTGCATGTGTTTGTGTTTAATGGCGATTTGTGAAGTGTCTGTGGATTGTGTACACTACGTTCTATTTGCAATTAATTGAAGAAAGTTAAAATTTTGCAACTAATAAAAGATAATTAGTGGTCTTAAAATGCGTTCGGTCGTAGAAATAGGTGCTAGTGTTCCAGCTTTTCTTGGGAAATTATGGAAATTGGTAAATGATACGGAGACTAATCATTTGATTTCATGGAGCCCTGTAAGTATTTTATTACTCAAATGAATTAAATTCTATGAAGAGTGGCTTGTGAGATGTTCTTTGATTTGTATTATGAATATGAAAGTACGACCAGTTATGCGAGACAACCTAAAATGTTTCCAATTGACAGGCCGTCATTGAGTACCTACTACCGATAAATAGATAGATATCGTCACGTTTTATTCCATGCGCTATTAGCCCTCATGAACTTGTTGTTGATACTTACTATAATATAGGTTTCTTTTATAAAAATGGGAGTCAACGTTTTGTAATATGTGTACCACACATCCAAATAACTTTCACATTGTTGTTCACAACTGGAACTTTACCATGAATAGATTGTTAGTATATTCAAAAATAATGCAAGAGGTTGTACAAAATCTATATCGACAGTGGAAAAGCAAAATCGCTTAAACGCCACTTTAGTAACTTGCAGAAACGAGGATCAAAATTAGAAGTAGCGCCATAAAAAAAACATTCATATAATAATATTTTCTAAATATCCTTCTATTAAAAGTTAGGTAGTGCTTTTATTTTACGAATTGGATAAAAAAAACTGATTAAAATGATATTTACCTATATACAACATATTTTCGCCCAAAGTGGAGTATAAGATTTTTTGCCTTTACACTGTCAATAATGTCTTGTGTCCTCCAAGATATATAGTGCAACCTCAAGATAACAAATCAGTAGGGAAGAAGTAAATATTTGTTATAAAAACTGAGGTTTCTTATATTGAAGTAAGGTTGGTCTAAAATATATAAAGAGGCAAAAAAATAGTTTCCTGGCATGACATGAATCATGTACTATGGGATTAAGGGCCATGTATTGATGGAAATGTTATATAGAGGTTTTTGGTTGAGAAAATTTGTTAGATAGAGGTATTTACTCTTTTTTTGATAGTTGAATATCAGTTAAAAGAGGTTGTTCGCAATGTAAAGGTATTTTTTACATTGACTCTTATGGAAAATTCAAGGGGATTACGAAGAATTTGTTTAATCAAGGAAGTCATTATATTCAGGTACAATAAATTAAGGTTGCACTCTATAAGACATATTTTGGCTTACTAACTTCAATAGGGATGATGATGGAGTAAAGTAAACGAAAACTTATTTTCTCTTTTTTCATTCAACCATAAAATTACAAATACAAAGTGCATCAAAGGTTGGGAGTGGGGGCTCGTGATATCACTTCTAAGTAAAAATTGATCCAAGACATGACATGTTGCGACATTTCAAATCAATATAGGAATCTGTGTTATTTTTTAATAATGTGAATAAAGAATTATAATATGTGTCCAATAGTAATGTAATTCTACTAAAAAAGAAATTTGAATTTCACTGTATAATTGAATTTTTGTCAAACTCAGTTTCTTAGGAAAGGTGCACTCTTCTTTGAAAAAATTAATTAAAATCATTATTATGGGAAGCAAAGATATTTTTTTTGTCATAATCTTCATGTTGCTGAATAATCACATATTGCTAATTAAATAAAATAAATAAATATTTCCAACACTCACACCAATTAGCCTAGCCCCAAAGTAAGCACTGTAGGTTTGTGTTAAGGGATACTAGGGTAATGGATAGAATACATATACTGTACATATATTTATTTATTTTTTATTTATTTATTTATTTATTCTTTATTACCAAAAACAGTAAATGGCGGACTTAATGCCATAGGCATTCTCTACCAGTCAACCAGCATGGGTGTATGAGACGGATGTTTTATATATCTTTATATATATAATTCTTCTGTGAGTGTGTATATCACTGAACTTCTCTTAAACGACTGGACCGATTTTGATGAAATTTTTTGTGTGTGGTCAAGGGGATCTGAGAATGGTTTAGATTCACAATTTTTGTCCGCTGGACAATGTTTTTTTAATTATTTTTTTTTTATGGCGGTATGAAGTTCGCTGGGTCAGCTAGTATATAAGTATATTTATATAGAAATACATATTAAACATCCATGACTGGAGTACAAATGCTCGTATTCATCACACAAACATCTGCCCCCACCAGGATTCGAACCCAGGACCTCTCGAGTCAGCGACACCATGAAACCCGGCATACAAACCACTCGGCCACGGAGGTCGTCAATTAATTAGTTGCTTTATATGATATAGGTAACGGTTTACAAAGAAAAGGACCACTTTGTAGTATAGCGTTTTGATATCCCTAAAACTAGATAAAATGAGTAAGTAGATAATTAAACAATATACACTTAACAAAATTAAACTTGGCAGTTAATATTGTAAAGATAGGCTGTTATAAATGTAGTCTTGCAAAGATTTCTATGTGAGATCATGCTAGTAGTTCAGAAAGTTACTTGTGTTACAAATATTGCAGTAAATCTATAAGGAGCAGAAATTCCTTGCCCAAGAAATCACACATGAACAATTTGCTAATCTAAAATTCACTTTTCAGAAACTCTTTTGTAAATATTTCTTGAAATATTTCAATATTTAGCCATAGCATTATAGTTTCACTGAAGTTTTTCAAAACCTCAGTGAAACTATTATGCTATGGCTTATTATGTGAAATGTTCTGTTAGGTTCCGTTAGTACTAGAAAAATCACAAACACATATAGAAATTTCTCCATAATTTTGGCTGAAAGTTAGACATTTATACCCCAATAGATTTGTTTGTGGGTTGGATCTAGTGATTTCTGTAAAATATACAGGAATTAGTGTTTTATCTGGGGGGCATTTATTTTTCTACAATCTGCTTCAAGCCATTTGTCTTTGGAAAGCAATTTCCTTACTGTATTTGTTTTTAAATTCTCCTCTGCAACTCTCTAGTTTAATATTTTCGAAATTTGTTAGTTATAGGATAATAATGCTAATTTAATAGTGAAAAAACCCCAACCTCGACAAAATCGAGATATGTCTCAGATTTTTAAGTGAAAAGTATTAATAAGTGAAAAAATATTGTACAGGGGCCATCATCAAAATAAATGGCTAAATGCGTGTTATTTTACTTGGCAGGTTTTTACTTATTTATTCCATGAAAGCCACATATTTCTCATTATAACTTTTGCTGTTACTTGGTGCTGTTATATGTTTACTTGGTGCCCACTAGTTTGACTAGTTGCTTGTCCTGGTACACCTTTTAGTTTCAACCAGGGCAAAAAACAAAAAAAGAAGGTTATTTATGAAATACAATATATTTATTGAACTTCCAAATCTGTAATTAATATAGGTATGTTCTCTTATAATAAAACTATTTCATCAAAACAAAAACCCTAAAAAGTAAGAAATATTACATAAATCTAAAAAATATTAAAGTCAAATTAACATTTGTTGCCAACACAAGCAGTAAATGGTAACTCCGATCTATCTAATGCATGGCAGCGACACAAAATGTTTATTTGACTTTATATGTACTTTAGATTTAAGTAAAGAATATGTATGTGAGGCGGCCGATAATTTTGTCGCCTAAGTTACTTAATGAATGAAAAGTACAGATTTATATTTTTTGTTTTTCAATGTACCCCCTTCAAGTAAAATAGTACAATCTTCTCTAGCCTTAGGCTGCCTTGTTGCCTGGTCCGCGTGGATTTTTTTCTAGTAAAACTTTGCTTAAGATTTAAACATCTAGCTGTTAAATGCTTAAAAAATAAAAACATAACTATAATTGCTATTTCTTCTTTCAAATGTTTAATACTTCGCACCTTTAGAATTGAAGTGACCTAATCCAAAATTCTTGTTTTTTGGTAAACGCTATAAATGTGATTGACAAGTTGGCCATTTTTTTGTTTTTCTATTATAATGCTATAAGTTGTACGTTTATTATCATATTTTTTATTGTTAATGGTAGGATAGGAATTGTTTTCACGATTATTTACTTAACCAGTCTGTATAACTAATTAGAACCTTTGTTAATTAATCATCAAAAAAAAACATGTCACTTATTTTCCGAAAACAGTTTATTATAATTAGCTTATTTCACTTTGTGCCCATTTTTTACTAAACAACGTAAAACAAAAACGTAACTATTTAATATAGAAGCGATTCATTTCTGATGTTATTTAATTGATAGATGACCAATTTTGTCATATGCTAGTTTAATAATTAATGATTTTCTAAATTAAAGGAAAATTAAATAAATGTCCACGCAACACTGAATGGGGTAATTCAATACTGAGGGAGGCGCGGTATGCGTGTCATTTAAAAGAGACGGAAATAGTGCGTTTGTCTTGTTCTGGCCTAAAAGAGCCTGTTTATTATTAATAAACTGATAGGATACATGTTTTTATGTCGTTTCACGTTTAAAAGTCATTTTGCAATTTTTTTTATTTAAGTCATTTCAATTCTAAAGGTCTTGTTAAGGTATTTCATTTGACATTGTGGGTTACCTACAATGTGAAGAGATGGCGCTGTCTTGCAGCCTAAGGCTAGAGAAAATTCGACACGGCCGTTAGGGCCGCGGTAGCATAATGATCAGTGCATTCGCCCGGATAGCGAAGGGTGCGGGTTCGAGTCCCGCCTGTTGCCTGGTCCGCGTGGATTTTTTTCTAGTGAAACTTTCTAGGTATTTCATTTGACAGTTTTGGGTTACCTACAATGTGAAGAGATGGCGCTGCCTTGCAGCCTAAGTATCGCAACACCAGAAGCAGGAAACGACCGAAATTTTATATTGCAGTCATCGTGCTACTTTTGACATTAACAGCACCTTCTTTGCAGCAAAGCTTTAAAATTACTAAAGTCTATTCACATTGGCCTGAGACAAAATGTAAACAAACCACGAAAAGGATACTTTTTAAGGTCACGTTTGACAAAAGCAAAGATACTATTTACGTAGGAAATGCAGAGAACCATTTAGTTAATTATTTTAAAAGCTAGTACATACATATGAATTCATAATAAAATAAAATATTTTGCATATATTTAACGTACATATGTCGTGGCCCACTTCATGAAATGCTCGAGAATTTCATGATGTGGGCAACTTAATTTGACCCATTAAATCGTCAACATTCAACGATTTTGTCATCG